GTTCTACAGTTTACCGGCGCGAATATCAGAGTACGCATCTATCAGTGGCCCTGACTCTTTCTTTCTTGCACATTGGCCTCGATTTCATACCCCTCAGATAATTTTTGTTAAAAAGAAACTGGATTGCATAAATGTAGACATTAGCACAGTAATTGAAACTAATTCCTCAACCCTCAACATTAGATTAGAGTACGATGAAATCTTCCCCCCACAAGCTAAGTTTCAATCTCTTAGAGTTTTGACCACTACATTAAACGATTACTTGGTACATGCAGAAACAAAACATGTAATAGCTACAGATGCTTCTGTCAACAATGAAAAGGCAGGCGTAGGAATTGCGTCTGATTTTCTCGGCTGGTATTTTTCAGTAAGGCTTCCAGATTTCCCTCCTATATTTGAAGTCGAGCTAGTAGCTATTATTTTAGCTCTTCGTAAAATTCCCACGACTGAGACCAGTTCAATCATCCTAACAGACTCACTTTCGGTGTGTGCAGCTCTGACAACCTCCGAACAATCTCGTGCCCTAGCAGCATTCCACGCATTAGCGCCGCCGCATTTAAAACTCCTCAAATTAGTGTGGGTCCCAGGCCACTGCGGATTACAATTAAATAAATTGACAGATGCTTTGGCACGAGCATCACTCGATGGACCAGTAACTTCAGTACTTCTCGAGTTAGAATACTTATCAGGGGTTAGATATAAGAAGAAATTGTTCTAAATTTTGATGCCTCTGTTTTGGGAAGTCACCACAGAGATGCATTCGATGCGGTGTGTAATTTTATTTAAGACTCTAAACGTTTTTCAACATAAAGCCCACGTTAACAGGTACTCAAAAAAACCGCGTCGAAAAGTAATTTTTCAAATCTGGATAAATCCGTGACATACAAAATTAATTGGGTTTGGCAAAACCAGCTGTCTGGACGGCTCCCAAAATCAAAATATAGCTATTAGTGTCTGTTTTCTTATTGATTCTTTTTTCTCACTATCTAAATCTTTGGTTTCTTTCTTTTTTTAACATACTGTCTTCACTATACAACTCCCCGCCCCATTTTTTTTTCGTTGTAAGCAATAATGTTGGTATCGTCCATATGAGACTATATGTTCTCTTGGCCAATCCCCCAGAGTGGGTATGAGCCATGGATTATAGGCTACAAGCAAACAAGCAAACAAACAAATAAACAGCTGGCCCAGGATCCGATCAGGTGTTGTCTCTTTTCTCTTCGTTACAATATATATATATATATATATATATATATATATATATATATATATATATATATATATATATATATATTGAGTGCCTAAATGACGCAAATAATGAAAATGCTAATTGTGGTTCCGGTATTTTTTTGCCAATCGAGCGTCATTATTCTTTTTTTCGAGCATAATGGCGATGGAAGTGATAATTGTTATCATAAATACGTTTTACCTATTTGAAGAAAAGCGTCTATGCATCTTCATTCTAATTTCGAGCTCCATTATCATTATTTCGTTGTATTCAGTTTTTTATTCACTCTCCTTTTTAGGTACATAGCCTGCGTTTTGCTTACTACTGTTGATACTACTATTACGACTAATACTGCTACTAATACTACAGTGAATACTGCTACTACGATGATGACCACGCCACCACATGGTAGACTAAACCTACTTTATTAGTAGGTAACCTTGTAATTGTCCAATTTCATATTCTCTAGTTGTCTGGATATTATTTTCATTCATCAAAATTTGCAATTTCTTTTTATGCATCACATTAACCAAGGTTTAATTGCCAATCTCCCATTGTGGGTACGAGCCACTGCATATAGGTACAAGCAAGCCTGCTTCACTCGATAAGTTCTGATGGTGCAGAATTGATAGTTTTTACCGAATCCTGCTGATGACTTTAGTTACGGTCAAAACCACACATCAACACGACCACACTTATTGTTGTTCGTATGTTTTACCACGAGGTGTTCGTGAATTACCGAGTCATGACTTCTTCTCTGCATTTGATATGTTATGCCTGATTCGCACTCCCGCAATAGCGCCAAGGGTGTTGCAGTGTGTAAAAATAAACACATTCAAATAAAAGTAAAAGCTGTCATACAGATCTACTACTAGAACTTGCTGGAGCTGCGGGGTAGCTGTGCAACGAGCGGCTCCCGCTTCCGAGCCACGTCGCGGTAACCTTTGTTAAGAGCGGCCAGGCCGCCGATCGGCCGAGGTGCCTTGGTGTAGTGGCACGTGTCGGAAGCTGGCCGGGCTTTTGCTGTCACTGTTGTGGTTCGTTCCCCACGACAGCTGCCTGTGCACGAACTTTACGCACAGAGCATAGAGCGCCAAAAAGAGGAAGCGAGGTTGCAGAGCCATGGAAAAATATTTTTAACTTTAAAGTAGTTCTTAGAAAACTTCAGCGACTTTAAGCATATCTATCTATCTATCTATCTATCTATCTATCTATCTATCTATCTATCTATCTATCTATCTATCTATCTATCTATATATCTATCTATCTATTCGCCTATGTCTAAGTGCTCTCGTGCTCGTCTTGTTATCTTGGTGTATATACAGATTGGCATAGAAGAACACGAAAGTGTAGGTAGCATGACTGACAGGTCACGACATGAATAACGTGTTGCTTGCCGCGTGCGTCATGAAACCCTTTCACGCACTCACGCGAGCCTGAACTCCTTATTGGATAAAAATTTGAGACTTTCCTGTGAGCGGCCAGTGTAAGCAACATCACTATTAACACCACCTGTGCTGCGACGTTGTACACTCCGATGAGGGAGCTCTCTTGTGCTCTCCTTTAAATCTCCTTGTACACCGATTGATTGATTGATTCATTGATTGATTGATTGATTGATTGACATGTGGGGCTTAACGTCCAAACACCACCATATGATTATGAGAGACGCCTTAGTGGAGGGCTCCAAAAATTTCGACCACCTGGGGTTCTTTAGCGTGCACCCAAATATGAGCACAAAGGCCTGCAGCCTCGTACACCGAGTCGGGATGCTTGGCGCAATGTGTGCAACTGTTTCCACTAATGTATTCTGGTCAGGAACTGTGCATGCGACGAACAGTATAGACATTTCATTGTTTACAAACACAGCTTCTTGATGACATCCAGTTTTGTCAACCGATGTGCCAAAATAGCATCGGTGGGCAAGAAGAGCTTTAGTAAATAGCCCACTGATTTTCTACACTTTCTTTCCGATATTTAGCAAAATATATTCAAATAAATGTTCTTTTGAGCTGCAGAAAATTATACCAGATTCCGTTGAACTTTTCGCACGTTCCTTTTATCAGAAAACAGAGACATTTTTTACATTTAAAAGAAACTTGAAAACGCGGTTACAATTTTGATGTTAGGAGCTGGTAACTGAGGTGACCAAGAATTTTCCTGGGTACAACTCCTGTGACCTTAAAACCATCTATACACATCGCGAAAACAGCAAGTTGTAGTTGTGCCTTGGATTCATATCTTGCGTGTCGCTACTGATTGTGAACTGATGGTTGCGTTTCATTACTTATTGTGGTTTGATGATTCGGTAAACTCTGCTCTCTATCAAGCTTTTCTTAATTAATGTAGTCATGCAACTATGGCGCACCTGGCTGTTAATGGTTACGGTGCACTGCCTAGTGACCCACAATACACTACTAAAATATACTCCATGCCTTCACTGTACAATACTCGGAATAGAATGGGCCTTTGTGGTGGGAGCTCTTTCTGGTCCATGTTTTATGCGAAGAAAATGTTGTCTTTTTATGAAAATGGGTTTAAAATGTAGTAGACTCGTATTCGTAGTACAATGACCCACAGCCAACTTTTGATTTTAAAGATGACAGGGTGTTTACCCGCACGTATAGTAATAAATCCCATTATCATCCTCATCACTGATGCTTGACTACGACCACTGCAGGGCAAATACCCCTCCCATAATAAGCCAGTCAACCTGGTCTTGTGCTTTCTGCTGCCACGTTATACCTGCGAACTTTTTACTGTCATCGGTCCACCTCACTTTCTGTCTCCACTTCATACGTTTGCCTTTTCTGGAAATCAAGTCAGTAACTTTTAATGGCCAGCGGTTATCCTGCCTACGTGCTATGTGCCCGGCCCATGTCCATTTCTTCTTCTTGATTTCAACTACGATATCGTTAGCCCCAGCTTGTTCCCTGAGCCACTCCACTCTCGTTCTCTCGTAAGGATACACCTATCATTTCCCATTCTATTGTTCACTGCATAGTCCTCAATTCAAACTGAACCCACTTGGTAAGGCTCCAGGTTTTTGCTCCGAAGGTAACGGTACCGGCAAGATGCAGCCGTTATAGAGCTTTCTCTTGAGGGTCAGTGGGAAAATGTCATTTATTATTTGAGAATGCTGGCCGAATGTGATCCACCCCATTCTTACTCTTCTTGTTATTTCCCTCTCATAGTTCTGCTATGCGGTTACTACCTCTCCTAAATAGACATATTACTTAACACCAGCGTCTCTCCACCTATATCAAAGGTCTGCTTACTGCCGAGACTGTTGCACATTACTTCAGGTTTGTGCATATTAATTTTCAGACCTGCTTTTCTACCATCTCAGGTTACTGTTTCTGGTCATATAACACCAGGTTATAGTGATGGGATTAATTCGAAACGCCAAGGAGCGTCTCCCTTGACTTCATTAAGGATCAGTTAGAATTAGTTGCGTGATTATTTTATTTTTACACTGTACAAACTTCTTTTAAACATACGCGTGCTCATGAAATATTGGTTTTTCTCTACACGTGTATTGCATACAAATCTTAATTCAAACATCAGATCTGCTCGTTCTCGTATATGCAATAACATCTTTCTTTTCTGAAAAGTAAAATTTAACAACAAAAGTCAGAAGCTTCTTGCTGCCAACCTCGCCGACTAATTTCTGTAGTTAAACGAAACCATATCTTTTCTCGACAATATAATGTAGGGGAAAAAAGGCAGTGTTTCATGTAGACCAGACCTAAGCCAATAAGTATCACACAAATGTTGTTTCATGAGGTTTATTTGTCTCATGAAGAAAAAAAAACATGGCGGGGAAAACACGCTATTGGCTGAATACCGACAGGTACAAACAGTACAAGTTCATCACCCGATGGCTTTGACGTACTAATGGCTTTCTAACTACTTGTAACACCAAGCAGAATTTTTTTTATTGATGCAGTTGTACATGCATGGTCAACACGCGGATTATGAGCAAGCGATAGAAGGGCTTCGCCTGCAAATAAATCAGTACATGACAACTTGGTGTGGCACCAAAAACATTAGCTCTATTTTTCCTCCATGTCGACAGGTTTGCGAAGGTTCGGCCCCTGACTAAGACGGCCATTATACGTTACATAGCAGGGAGGTCCCGCAATACTTCTGCAGCAAGATGGCCTTCGTATGCATAGTGCATATTTCTACAAGGACACACGCTTTTGCCGAGGCTTCTCTGCCAAATAATGTACAGCACGTGAAACAAAAGAACATTCATTCACAGACAACACTAATCGCTCCTCAAGTCGCCAAAAAGATCACGCATAACACCATCTGTCAAACTACGCATGATGTTCTTCTTTATTTTCCAACCGCTCCCCGGGGTCGGGAGCTGAGAAGCAGAACACAAAATTTCCCACCCAGTCTTTTTTTTTTTTCGTTTTGAAGCACAATTTCAAGGGCCAGCTCGCGAATGCGCAGTGTATTACGCCTGCGCTGTGTGCGTGGGGAATACGTGGTGTGCACAAGATGAAACAATGAAAGGGCAACAATAAAGAAGATGAAAGATTATAGATGCAACAAACTTGTACGAAGCACAAAACGACGCAAATGCTCCGCACAATGACGTCGACGTATAGGTACATCCAGCGAACGCAAGCTTCACCCTGTGTCGCACGGTATTGCTGTGGAGCATACGTTTCTAATTTATGGCGACAAACATACATAAATGCGAATTGCATCTGGTGAAGTGTGTCATTCTCTGCACAGCCATGTTCTGGGCACTGAAGAAAATTGAAGTTATAAATTTGCACCCTGAGTGAAAAAAAAATTGTCTTCGTAACTCTCCAACCCGTGGTACAAAGAGCAGAGTGCGACTTTGCTTCTACTCCCATCTATAGCTAAGCAACTTTTTTGCAATAATATTTGGTTATTACAAATTTATGAATTCAACATAGTCAATTTACTGAAACTCACTTTTTGCATAAATTTTGGTACATCTCTCTTAGGTTTAACATTGATCCTGTGTCCATGTTCGTCATGTGAATGTAGAATTGCCACCTGGCATGTTCTAGTTGGGTGAATATGAAGCACCACTTCAACTATAGATACGTGAGAAGTATTTCTAGGATGACTGAAAGTCTGCAACAGTACGGTGTTAACGTGAGAAAGCAGAAATTAATCACAGTGAGTATTCTATAAGAAAACCACACCTTGTTGCGCAATCAGCCATTTTAACAATCTTGCTGGGACAGGCAGACTTTTTTTTTGTTTCCGCTACAGATTGAACGACAAGATTTATCCCTTTTAAAGACATCGTCATTAGTGTGTAGGAGCGCAGTGATCCTCGACACTGGTGGCAATATCCCCAAACAAGATCATCAGCATTTATATGAGTGCTATTGCAAAGGCGAGGGAATAGCAAACTCAGTGCAGTGGTAGTGGACAAAAGCGCTTAGTTTCGCTACTTTCTGGAATTTCGAGGACGTGCTGTGCTGACGCACGAACACAGCAGTGTCACGGTGTCACGCATGAATACTCGCTCATTCTCACATAGTCTCGCGCTTCTCCGGAATGACCCTGTTACGTTTACCTGAAGTGGTAAAAGTTTACAGTAGGGAAATGGGGCTCATGTCTACGAAACTTCACTTGAGTAAGAACGCTTGCTTGTTCCCAGGATTTCGAGCTCCACCTCTATAGCAGTAAAGATCAGCATGCTAACTCGGCGACTGCAGCAGCTATGGCAAGGACGGCATTTGCAATAAATGTTTCAGAAATAAGAACCCTGAAACGGCATGTTGTAAAAATTTCTTTCACGCCGTTGTATTACTTTGGGAACATCTACTCTTCACAGCCGGCCGATGCCGTTGGCGACATTGCGAAGCGCCGCTCACACCAGTGAACGAGCATAAAAAGTAATAGCACAGAATTAAGTTGTTACAATATCCAGGCGATTTCTCGATCAGAACCCCTGGGTGGAATTGTTCTTAGCCATTCGTGTAAGAGCAGGAAACAAAAGTTGCAACTGTGCCCCGTGCCAAAGGCAGTGCCCGGGGTAAGGTATATAGCCTTGTCCCGGCTACTCCACAGTGATCACTGGGCGTGTGTTTGTGTCAGTGCTGTCTCCTAAACGACCTGCACGCCGCCAACCTGCTGCTGCTTTCCGTGGTCAGGTTCGGTGAGCACGTCTCCCCAGTAAAATCCTGCGGGTCCCTTTCCGCAGTGTATGAGGTACCGCCAGCGTCCGGCATCCCTGTCGTAGTACCAGTAGACGTTGCTCACGAGGCAAGTAGCGCTGAGCACCACCGTAGATAGCGGAATGCATATCCACAGCGCCACTTCAAAGTGCTTGCTGTACGGATTCTCAAACGAGTAGGAAAACAACACCAATGGCACGATCAGTACCCAGGCAATGAGCACGGGTATGAAGATTAAGATGGTGGCCAGCTCTGTGTTCCGCTGCCGTCGGCGCCGCTCCATCTCCACTTGGGCCGAGCCGGTGGTGCTCTCGTCGGGCGGCGCTTCGGCCGCCACCGTCACGCTGCAAAAGATGGGCGTCAACAACATCACGACACGCACCTGCGCTAAGAACGACTGCCCGAGCGTCTAAAGTAGCACTTGTGTGCTCTGTTAAGCCCTTCGCGGAAGGACAATACTCGTAGACTGGAAGACCTGGCTTTCATATACACACCTTCCCAAACAAGCGTCATGGCGTCACCTGTCAAAGGTACCCGTTAGCTGGGAAATACACCCTGCTTTGTCCTCATTCTTTTTGTAAGCACGGTACAGAATATTCGTGTGCAGTCCAGGTGATTGAACTTGGAGCAGAGAGGCGTAGCACTAAACCCTTATATTAGCATCCCGGCGTGGGACCTATAATAACGAGGCGCAGAAGAATAAACAAATTGTGTTACACGTTTAGTCATATTCCATAAATATTTTACTTTAAATGCGATCAGTTCACCGCTAATTTGTAACGGCACGTGTCATATATTTCACGCCCATTTTACAACGTAGCAAGGACACCGTCTCTCAAGGCAACGAGAACTACATAATTCCTTTGGGTTGTGTTGTAGTAACAGTGTGACAACTGCAGCAAGAGATAAAATGGGCAGAAAAAAAGCGTTGACACTCAACTGAATTTATTGAAGGTGCTACGGTCGCTTTTATACAGAGTGCAAGAACAGTGCTCATGGGCGACGACACATGTGTGACTATGAAAAAAAATATTCTTGACTGAGAAAGGAGAAGTGATTGTGTACTGATGCATTGATCTGTGGCCTTTCTGACAAAAAGTGCTTCTATATATTTCTATTTCCTTATTCGTTCTTGTTTAAAAAAAGGTGTTTTATGAAAAAGAGGACTGCACTTACATTCTTTGCAGCGTACAGCCATGAGACTACAAAAGCCATTTTCAACATTGGAAGCATGCTGTCTTGCATGGTCATGGAAGCATTGCCCTGTGTTTATTTTTCCACATGTCAGCGGTATCTCATGCAAAACATTAGATTGGCAGTCAGTAAACCTATTCTCGTGACGAATGTTGCATGATCGACTACTCCTGTTGCTGTTTAGTACACACACTTGAAAGCTTGCAAGGAGCGGAAAACAACAAATTGATATCATATCTGGTCGCTATTTTTTTTAAATTGTGAGATACCTCAAGTATTACCGTATACCATGCAAAGGTCTTTGATTATTCTGTTTTTATTTTGGTCCTGTTTTGTTTATTTTTTTGCAGGGGGAAGCACAACTTCAGTCTTGTCATAAACCACATTCGTTCAGTTTTTCCAACAAGCACAAGGTAACCGTCAACTTAACGATACACTCAGCATACAGGTACACATGCAAGGCTCGTAAAAATGTGATGGTTGATAGCAGGTAAAAAGATGACACAAAAAAGAAGGGCCAATTGACGAACCTATGCATATTCTAGTGTGTTGATGGCGCATCGTATTGGATGGTACTCGACTTGCGATAGAATTCTACAAGCGTAATAAAATATGTAGAGTTCCTGCCTATAGTGTTCTGAAAATACATCTTCTGTTTTTCAAAACATTTCCCCTCAGCAAAAATTAGGCCATCACATGGAACAGAGTAAGAAAGGTCCTCAACATCGATTGGGATCTCACCACAGTGCAGCGAAACCCTTGCAGTAGTTCATGGACGAAATCAGAGGAGCTTCTTACGAGGAACGGATTTTGAAAAGTCAACTTTTTTCAAACTGTCGTGAAGAAATGTTTCTACATGTTCTGCGATGACATTCTCTCCGAAACAATTACTCTGAAAGAATGCTCAGACTTGTGTGTCTTCAAGGTGAAAAAGACCTCTAAGTAACGTTTTGAAGATTTGCCTACTTACTTTTTTAGGTTCTCAATATTCAGAACCTTTATTAGCTCTAACGCTTCCTTTTTATGCTGTTCGGGGTCAAATTTAACGAGCTTTAGTGCTTCTGAATCGATGGCTGCTTTCGATCTAAATAAAGCTTGCGGAAGAAGCACGAATCTGCCTTCTGTATTGACCTGTAGCATTTTCAAGTTGTTATCTTTCATGTAAGTGGCAATCTTCTTCAGCGACAATCTCGGGAATTTTTTTTGAAGTTTTTATTGGCCCAGTGAACTTTTTTGCCATGATATGGCTTTTTGCTTCGCCACTAGCTTTGTGTCTCAAGCTGCATGCCATAGCCAGTTGCTGATAAGTTTCCAGGGATCTCGGAAGAAAAATTTTTTGTGTCGTCGTGCATAAGCACTGTTCTTGCACCCTCAACAAAACGGGTCATAGCACCTTCGATAAATTCAGTTTACTGTCAGCGCTCTTTCCTGTCCATTTTGTCTCTTCCCATAGTTATCTTGCTGTTACTACAATACCACCACGATGAACCAACTCGCCAAAATTAAGCTCTTGTTGATACTTTTGGGGTTTTGATACTGTTGGTTTATTATATGCCGGCTACAGTTAGCAAGCAGTTTTAGAAGAGGGTACCCAAAGGGAGCGTTTGTTGCGTACGCACGCTATTTCTGTCACTTCACAGGGGTACGAGAGAGCACAGGGTAAGACGCATGCGCAGTAGCGAGAAACACTACTTCGAAACGTCGCGTACGATATTCTAAAGCTCTCTAAAATTGCTAAGCGGACCATCAAAGTGTTCATAATAGCATGCTTTTTGTTCGTATCTTACAAAACTGTAGATGGTTTCATGGGACACAGTTTCATCAGAAGGAAAAGGACACAGAAAGAAAAGGGCTTGCTATGCGAAGCAAGAGAACTCAAAGACTTAGAATCGGACAAAGAACGATTAGCTATTCCGGCACAATTAACTAGCTGCGCTGGCCTCTTGCTCCTGTGCAGTTAAATAATTTTTAACCCCAGGGCTCCGTCCTGGGACCTTTGCTGTTCTTATTGTACATCAATGATATTGGCGACGGTTTGACATCGCAGTTGAGGCTGTTTGCAGATGACTGTGTGGTTTATAGGATCACTAACGGTACGGAAGACCTCAACCTGATTCAGCAAGACCTCGATCGAATCAGCACATGGTGCACTAGGTGGCGCATGCAGCTAAACCTCACGAAAACTGTCAATATGACATTCACTCGAAAGAAGAACCCTCTAAATTACTGCTACACCCTGAATAACATTGTAATTGGTAAAGTAACCGAATTTAAATACTTAGGTGTTTGGTATACCCCAGAATTATCGTGGCAGAAGCAGGTTGACTACGTAACCGGAAAGGCGGGAAAAATGCTGGGCTTCATTCGCAGGAACTCTGGTGCATTCAGTCAGTCCACACGTGAGCTACTCTACAAGACGTACGTGAGGTCCGTCCTCGAGTACGCTTGTGTAGCGTGGGACCCTACGACGGCGCGCGACGTTATTAAACTTGAAAGAGTTCAGAATCTCGGTGCGAGGTACGTGTCCCGTCAATACACAATTAATTTCAGTGCAACAAGAACTAAGGAAGAACTCAAATGGGATACCCTGGTAGAACGACGCAGAAAGCTGCGCCTGAAGCTTTTTCATTCCATCTACTATGGTACGATTAACATACAGAGAGACATATATATAATACCGCCTAACTATAGGTCCCAACGCGTGGACCATGACCGAAAAGTAAGAGTGGTTCTATGCCGCACGGAACTTTTTAAGAAATCTTTCTTTCCAAAAACAATCCACGACTGGAATAGGTTACCTGCTGACATCGTCAACGTAGTTTCGAATGAGATGTTTTTTGCCCTGCTGAAATGATTGTTTCTTTGATCTTTTTAGGACGTACTGTATGTATTACTGTTCTTATCTTTTGTTCTTCTTTCTTTTGTCCTCACACTGTATGCAGAAAGGAACTGTGGCTTTACTCCGGTATCAAATCACTTATTTTTCCTGTTGAAGTGACTCAACCTTGTAGTGTTCTTGTTTCTCACATATACTGCATACTGCTGTGAATAACTTATGTTGTCGATCTGCTGTAGCTGTTGGTGTTGCTATTACCGTTTTCCACGCTTTATATATGACAAAATATTGAACTGTCCAGACTTACTGTAAACCCCTCCCCCACTGTAATGCCTCTGGCGCTGTGGGTACTAAATAAATAAATAATAAATAACACTCGATAAATACCGCGACAAATCCACCGCTAAGCTTCACGCTGTACAACTGTTCAAATAATAAAGAAAATTGATAATTGTTCTATTTTTGGAATCAAGTCACGTGTTCTGACAAATATGAATCCAATTCCCCATTGAGAGGTAGGAACCACCAGTGAAAAACGATTACACCTTTCTGCCGAGGAAAGTGGCCACATATGTCATGAACATTTACCCTGCGTTGTGTGGTAAATGCAGGTAAATCGCGCTGCTTAAAATCACAGACCAGTGGGGAGCAAGAGCGAATAATCTTCTTATTAAGGGTGAAGTTCTTTAGGCCGTGAGTCATTTTCTCCTCCGTATGCAGTATGTAGCCACCTCTAGTTTATGACTTGCTCAATAGAGGGCGTTGGGTGTACATGTCCTTAAGAATAATATAACTAGATGGCGTTAGCGGTTTCCACAGTATATCCACGGAGTGAATGAGGATGAGTGAGGTGAAGCGTCCGTCCATGCATCCATCCATCCATCCGTCCGTGTTTCCGTCTGTCCTTCCATGAGTCCGTCCATCTGTCTGTCCGCGCATGCTTCCGTCCGTCTGTCTGTCCATCTGCCCATCCGTGCTACTATCTGTGAGTCCGTCCGCAAGTCCGCCCATGCGCCCGTCCATGCTTTTGTCCGTCCGTCTGTCTATCTGTGCGTTCGTCCGTTCACGCATCCGTTCATGCGGCTGTCCATGAGTCCTTCAGTCCGTCCATCCGGACGCACGGACGGATGCACACACGAACGGATGGACACACGGACGAATGGAGGGACGCTTTGGCCCACTCATAATCATTCACTCCGTCGATATGCTGTGATATCTTTTACTCACTACTTGCTTATCTTAGCAACGTTGCTTGTTGAGCTTGTTTTGATTGTTTATCTTATTCACAACGACTTGGACAATAGGGGAGTCTCAAACCAGTATCCATCACTCCCAAAGTTCGGAAGTTTGGACAGTCTGAAAGTCTGGAACTAAACTGCTGCCAACATGAGCACTGATGTGAATATATGCTGAGGAAAGGAAAATGAAACAAGTGGTGAGGACCGAACCCACAATTTCCGCGCGTTTCGTGTGGAGGTCATGAATTTCAGAATTGTAGATGGTCGGCCTTCTTGGTTCGCCATTATGATGATATAAACGTAGCACCGAGGCACAGAGAGCGCAACGGGAATTGCAAAGAAGCACCAGTGTGAGGTAATCTGACCCCATTTTTTCCCAACTCACATATCTGTAGTCTACGATTTATCACAGTGGGTTCCTAAAAAAAGGGCACTTACATATCAGCACAAAGCTGTTAACGCGATACTGAAGATAAACAGAGGTGTTAACGTAACGTATTCTCCTATATACTATACTTTAGCGAATTGGCGGTAATTGACTGATACTAAAAAATGTCTGAGTTTCATACTCCTAGAGCCGATATTTAAATGAGACGTGACCAACACTTAAGTATATTCATCCCTCTACTCCCTCCTATCCCGACTTTCGGCAACCTTCCCAAGACTTCCCAAATTCACTCACTGGATCTTTCTATAATAAACTACACATCTACCAACAAACGCACAACTATAGGCTCAAGTGGGCGCCGTCCAATCCAACGGTGATACAGGCAAATTCACTGGGCTTTCGTTTTTGCTTTTTTGTGTGCTCATTGTGCCTCCTCTTTCGGTGGGAGTGAGACTTTCGGTATTTGAGATCCGTAATATATGTAAAAGAGTTCAGATTATACTTTTCATTTAATAAGGGTGTGTGCACGTCCATGGATGTTTCATTAGGCGCAATTATGTATTAACTTCTATGGCAGTGTGATGCATATTGTCAGTGCTGACGAATACGTGGCAGAACTGACATCTCTGCAATCAAAAGCGCTGGATTGCCGTGATGTGTAGTCGCCGCAGAAAAACACCGGCACAAGCGACTATTGGCCGAAAAGTTCACTTGTGTTTATCTGTTTTCTGTCGAGACCAATGTATTGAGCAGAATCGTCGTCATCCCACACAGCTGCCCAGCCGCTACTCATAATATTATAAAAGGGCTCAGAACAATCCGGTTAACCTTCTTATCTTTTCTATTTCATTTCTCTCTCTCGGCCTCTCTACTCATTGAACGTCTTTGTGTGCTGTGCTTTGCGGAAATGTACGGATGACAAAAGGTGAGAGCACATGAGGGGAAAATCTATCACTAGATTTAATTGAGCTCAGAAGTCTTTTCCACGTTTCGCGTAAAGTGAAATGTCGCAAGGAAGAGTGAATAACACATTATTTAAGTTTGCGTGCGTGCAGTATTCTCACATTTCACTCTCATGACTGCGTACCAAACAGCGATTAGGCTGAAGTAGCACATCCGACAACATCGCGCGACAAGTATTTTACTCACGGAGCGGTCACCGTGGCTAGCGAACTCTCTGCCACCTGAGGTTCCGGGGTCGGCATGTTGCGGCCGGCTGGAGTCGCGGCGTCGTCTTGCGGCAGACCGTAACTTCGGATCTCCTTGCCGAAGCTCGTGTAGATGCCCGAGTCCGCAGAGTCCGAAGGCACGCGGCGTACCTCGAACACCTCGGAGCCCTTCTTGCGGCCGGCCTTCTTAGGGCCCGAGAGTACCAGGCGGCCCTTGCGGCTCCGGGGCACCCGCAGGAAATCCCTCGGCAGCGACGCGTACGGGGAGCCCCGGCCGATGGCGCAACTGCTGCCGTTCTGCGCGTGAACCAAGGATTCACTGTAATTCAACTGAAATAAGGAAAGCTGCCCCGCAATGATTAGGCGGGCCGCTTCATAAAGTGACGACCGACATCATTTTCTGCTGCGGACACTAGCGAGGAACCGTATGACTGGCAGCCACCGTCACTGCTTCAGATGGCACATATGGAAACAAAGCCCGCAGCGCCTGCAGGGAGGGCCATTGCGTAACCGAACCTCCTCCTCGTACTCACCTCTCTCCGCGGTAGCCGAGCCAAGGCCAGGGAAATGGTCAGACGAGGAAAAAAAGAAAAAAAAGAATTGCTGCACGTCTGAATTATCATTGGTCACCTCGCTTCCTCAATTTATCGTTTCTTGTCATCTATTTCCTACAAGCGCTTACCAGATCGAAGCCGTCGTGAAAAACAAAAGCGTTTGTTCAAAAAGAAGGCGGGCACGGAATATGTTCACTTTCCTACGGCTTCTAACAGCGGCTGACGCTGACTCTAAGACTTGCGAGGTGGACCACGAAAAAATCAGCTGCCGCTGCGGGGTCGCATAGCATGAAGGAGTGGCTGACGTTCGGTGTAACGAAAGTGCTGCTTCTATTATTTTCGTAGTAAGGTAGACAGACAAAAACAAGGAGAAAAAAATCTGTGTATCAGGAAGCCGCCAGCTTGAATGCCGTTGCTAAGGCAAGGTTGTCATTATCTCCATTGCTTTCCTTGTATGCCACAATACTCAAAGGTGCGTATTACAACCGGCAGAGACGTTGCAATATGCGGCAATACAGGAGGCGCAGCGAGCACCGGGAAAATTTGTATACTCCACGAAAGGCGACTGTTTTCGTTCTTTGACCTCTTGAAGGTGGTGAGCTTCATCAGTATACGAAACTACATTAATAACTCAGCCATAACCTCGCGCGTATGGTCAGGCTGTTCGGATAGTGCCGGCCTGTAGCAATACATCAGAAACGTCTGAGAGGAAAGAAAAAGTAGTGCACTAATTCGTACACGGAGCCATCTAAGCACCGACAGGCAGCATGTTCTTTTTTATTTTTTTACTGAAAACCGCGATCGCACAGGAGAAGCGCAGTGGCGCTCACCTCGTCGTCCGAGCAACGGCTGACGTCTGCGGTGACGAGGATTTCGGGTGGTTCGTCGTCGCCTGCGTCTGCCACCCTGGGCACGAAGCCTGTGGAGCGGACCGAGCCGTCCCGGTTCATGCACAGGCGCGTGATCTGGCAGCCGCCGTCGTTGTGTTCGTTGGCCCTGGACTTGAACGAGTAGCGGCCCGCGAAAGCGTCCTTGGAGCGCGCTTCTTTGGCGCTGCCGACGCCGCCCTCAGAACCGTTGTCAAAGCTCGAGAGGCTCGTCGAGTCGCAAGACTCGTAGCAGGACGGCACGGCTGACTTGTCTTCCGCGGCTGCGGCTGCCTTGAGGACGTCCCTCACTGCGCCTAGCTGACCGCACGGAATCACGTCCAGCCACTCGGGCGCGCCGCCGGCCAACGCCGCCAGTGGTCCCTCGGCCGTCCGCTTCTTCTCGCGGCGCGACGGTGGCAGCGACCGGTGACCCACGTCCATCGTCGCCGGTCGTCGCGAACTCGCACGCTCTCCGTGCACGAATTCTGGACACATCAAAAGGAAACCGGAGACGTCAACATAGTTCCGCACAGGCCACCATTGGCCGCCATTGGTGCATCTTTTTTTATTAATGACGCAGATAGGTTATTTCCAATAGTAGAGGTTTCCATTCAATCTAGTAAGGGGACTCATAATGTCGCCTTTCGTCTCCTGCACCGCGGCAATCATGGATTGTGAAACAGATAAATAAAACAAAAAACACGAACTATACAAATATACTGCCATTGGAAACATTCCTTAAGTTCATCGAAGGTACGCTTTAAGGGGAAGAGGGGTGTGGGGTGTGCAGTCAGCATATAATAGTGAATAACCTTGACGGAGGCTAGACATCGAGTGCTGTTAAGTCACGCTTTGGTTTCATGTACGTTGGTTCTCAGTGACACATTCTCCACAGTGCTGCGATAAATCCTGTTTCAAGGTGAGCCACCTGCTAACAATAATGCAGTTTCCATCGCTAGGAAGTGCCTGCCTAAATGCTGCACTAAAAACTAGATAAACAACATAGAAGGAAGCGCAACATGCACTCGGCACGACAAAAATAAAAGCGAGATTCTCCTTCTACGCAAGCTTCTAGCCATTTTCTGGCCATCAAAACTGCCCCAGTGCATTACAAATTGCTTCGTAACATGCATCTGCAATTGTTTGCCCATATGCACATGCTCGCAATGACCGTAAAGGCTCCTGAACGCCTGCGATTAGCACAGATAGTGCGATAAGGCTAGTCTCAAATGGTTTCGAATGGCCACTTTGGTCGCAAAGCAACTGCTTTGGCTTGGTCGCTGGTTGCTAAATTTTTGGTCGTGTAACTGCAGATGCAAACTTATGCATCAATTACATACGTAGGAACAGGACGCCAGCTTAGTTTACGGGGCAGTGGTAACGCGAGCCATATGACAATGCAAGCAGACGGAAATTTTGTGTGGCGGTGGGTATAAATCGCCCCCAGGTGTGAGCATTGGTCACATTGAGGCACTTCTTGGTCGCCAGTCGCGAATGGTCGTGCGACTGGTGCCAGCCGCAGGTGTCAACGAGCATTTACAAAGATCGCTGCAGAGGTCACAGTATAACACGCATCGTTGCGTCATGAATAATCGAAATTCTTAATTAAAGTGATTGGGGACCTCACATAAGTATTTTCCATGCACTGGATGTAAGTAATATATAGATTATTCTGATTCTCTTACCCATGTTACGCATGATTTTGTAGTACACGAAGTCACGCCTGCATTACCCCTGGCTTCCGGCATAAACTGGCACTGCCGATTACATGCCGTACTTTGTATATTCGGGAGTGCGCATGTGAAAGACATGTAAACTGACATGGAAGAAAGAACAAACATGAAAACCTAGCGCGAAACCCGACAACCAGATGACAATGCCTAATATGGGCATGCCCTTTAGAAACACAACGTTGCTTTAACGCCTTTATTTTTGTCAGCGTTTGTATACTTACACATATTTGGGGCGAACGGCGCTTCTGTTACTGACAGCTGTCATGATGACAAGGCGACAAAGACTAAAACATTGAGGGGACGTTTCGTTAAACAGAAGTGACATCGCAGTTAGTGCTGACAAGCAACTTACAGATGACGCATCAGCGCTTGTATTGTGCAGCTCGATCCCTTCAATCCGCCCTTTGCCCTCCTTGCACGTCAGCACTATATATTCTACAATGCTTTGACACGTTCATAGTGCCAACTATGACGCAAGCTGAGGGACTAGGTTTATAAAGAAATTGTACCTCTAAGGTTCATGCTGACCTAATTAGGTAGTTTTTTTGTTATGGAACAGCCACTTTCAATTATTGGTTTATTTGAGTTTATTATTTGTTGGTGCTAATTGAGTTTAAGTAAAAAAAAGTTAACTGAAAATCTACCCCGCGCTATCACATGCCCGAAACAAAGCCAAGAAATTATCTGAACATGCTGAGAGGAGAATAAACGCTTAAAATGCCACAAAAACAGGGGGCAAATCGCAGTTCTGAAGCATCGACTATTCTCTGCACATTGGCCAATCTACCGATTGCCGCTTTCTTATGATCAGTCACTCGGACATTTGGGTTACGACCAACTCACTATTGACTTTACAATTTCATTAGTGTCTTCCTCTCGATATCCCTATCCTAAGCTTGAATAGCAGGAAATGCTTCGCATTCAATAACCGGAGTGTTCTCAAGCGGCTTGTTTTGGAAAGACCCCTAGCCTCCGCTGCCTTGTTTTTTTTTATTACTATACCTTCTGTCCTGTGAGACCCAGAGGCAGGTGATGTACACAGCGCTTGACTGACAAGAGAATCCTATGAACTATCAGCCCCCCCCCCCCCCAAAAAAAAAAAAGGCAAGTGCTTCATTGGAAACCTGACACAGAGGTTGACAAGGTCCTTCCAAATATTAGACTCCTTTAGCATCACTTGCTACTGCTGTTCAGTTCTGAAGGTTACAGTGTGTTTTTTTATCTTTCTTTTTCCATTTTTCCTTCTCTTTTAACCCACACACTCCTCTTCCTGTAAACGGTAGTCAAGTGGTACTACCTCTGGTTAATCTCCCTGCTTTTCTGTGTATTCTCTTGTGTAATCGGGGGGTGAGTGGTCAAATTTTCAGACAATGCATTTACTACCGTGGCATTTTTCACATGTATCTGAAAAAAAAAAGAATTCGTAGAACATCTACCCAGTCAAGTTTATTAGGAAGGTTAAAACTATCACCAACATTTACTATTAGTATTGTGTAATTGGTTGTAGAAAATTTTAACATGTTGCGATTATTATCATGATTATTGCAATCCAGTGTAAAAAGTGATTAGCGATCTTTATGGGCTATTTCTCAAAACCACAAAGTGCCCATTGATGTCAGGGAGCAGAATATCTTGTGATCACCACAACTCATTTTTACCTGCCCTAACCCTATATATTGTCCGCTCCTGCAACTCGGGATTGCCTTGTGTCACCTTCGGACATCCATTCTGAAGCATTGGACAAGAAGAAATTATATATATATATATATATATATATATATATATATATATATATATATATATATATATATATATATATATATATATATATATATATATATATATATATATATATAGCAATATCATATACGTATAAATGAAGAAGTTTTAGCATGTATATACATATGCATGTCCGACAAGGTAGTACCCATGCTGTGTTACAGAAGTCTAGTATCCAGACAGCAGCTAGCCAGATAGTGGTCCAAATCATAGTAGAAGACAAGTCTATACGTCGATGTGTCACTCGGTATGTGGGAGACAGACACCACAACCTGCGTGAACCTCTCAAAAAATGCCGATAACATTAAAATGGTCTGTTTTCAGAATCATTGATAATTTTTAATAGTTCAACATATTATTAGAGTATTAAGCTGCGTTGAGCCAAAACAATCTGCGACTTCGTTTCTTTCTTCTGAACACGCGGAAGGCATCCGTTGCCGACGTTGAGCAGCGCGCGTTCGAAGTAAACAATGATTTGGGGCTTTTAGATTGTACGTATGCGTCTTTACGTTGATGTGTTGCCGATTACCGGTTTTCGTTTACTGTCTTACAGGAACGCATGTTTTTCAACTTTGCATGTTTACGTCTCCGCAAACAATAAATGATGATGCTAACTATATTTAAACTACATTTACCTTAGATAGAATTCAATGACCACTGCGGTAAATTCACGAGACGTTTTTTTTTTCTTATCGTGTGTAGTGTTCTCGCATGCGCAAAAGGGTACAGAAGTACAAAGTAAGTGCAACGATGTGGTCGATGTGACACTTCGTGCGACCGTAGTCATGAACACGTTGGCTTACGCGTAATGGTTTGAGGTGAAAATGATAAAAAGGTAACTCATTCGTGATAACACCGCTGCGGGGTTTTTACACCAGACGTAGAATGCACAATGTTTCTGTAAAAGCAATTTCGTTATTGCCTAGTTCATTTTGGCCCCAATAGATAGTCGGCTCTTCAAACGTTTACGGCTTCGATGTTATAGGCCATTGTTGCTCTGGTAATTGGCTGAAACAATGTAATCGCTAGTGGCACTCGTACTTCAGCTTAGTTTTACTCGACGGCTGGAGTCTCCGCAATGCGTATATCGCGAGTTCCAACGAATGAAGGCAGATTTGTGAAATAGGTTTGCAAAGCCTATTCAGAGGGTATACGTTTTGTAAAGGTTAGCATTCCGTAAAGGCCCGCGCATGCGCAGATTCTATATGGTATCCGCTAGCATGTTCAGGTGAAAAAGTATAGTACAAGCTAAAAGCCCCAGTTATATGTGCATAAGTCACCTTCGATGAAGCGCTGTCAGCGAAAAATTGTAATGAAGTTAATCCGAAGTTTATCTCAAGGTTATCCGAAGAAGCCTTGGATGAAAGAAGTATGAGTCAACTTGATATTCTAAACATTTCGATGCGTACGAATGACTGCCATGTGGTATGAAACACAGTGATGGAATATTTAAACGAATATATGCTGATTTACTTGTTGGCCGGGGATAAAATTCTACATTAAGCGGTGCAGCATTTACGGCTTAATGTATGTACTGATTTCCCTCTAGCGCGGGCATGTGAACGCACGGCGGCAATCGAGGCGGAGAACATGCCAGTCCCACGTGCCTCATCGTCTATGGCATGTACAACAGGCAAGCCCAGAATTGTCGTTGCCTTTGTGCTAGCTTTATTATTGTGTGCCTATAGAGTTCCGAGGCCACACTATCTCTCTTTTTCCGAGAAGCGCTCAAGCGTGTATAGCATACAACAGCACAACGCTGTATTCGCGCTGCCGACACCCTTTGTGGCAGCAAGTGCTCGTGATTGTCGAGTGAGATTCGTTCAAAATGTACCTGTACGTGTGAGAAAGCTTGTTTGTTGATTACGGAACGCTTATTAAAATTCACACGGTGGATAAAAGTATAATCATTACCTTCTGTTGTTGTCTAAAAGGTTTATGCTCTTATCAAATATTGACCTTGCGGGCACAGT